CGTAATACAGTCAAAAGCCCGAAAGGTCGGGGAAGCAAACATACCGACCAGGAAGGATTTTCGCCAGGGTAATCGGAGGCTTTTCCACTTGAACCACAGACTATTGACCGGACTCATTGTAGGCCGAAGGTAGATTGAGAGAGGATGGAGGATGGAGGATGCGGAGACGGAGAGACGGAGAGGAATGAACTCATTTAGGCAATTCCTGCTGACTGGGCGGCAACACGAGAACGATGATAGGACAATCCCAATCAGGCATCCCGGCTGACTAACCAACATACGTACATTCCTCCTCCTCATTCCATCATCGCTCTGTTGTCTGTTTACTTCGTCTTCTTTCTCTTCTCTTCTACATGAATCCCGTCTTACCCGATCTTGTCGCTTCTCGTTTATTCGCCCGCTGATTCTCTCCGACTTGTATATACTCGCTTCATCCGTTGTCCTCCGCTCAGCACTGCCTACATCACTCGCCCCTGGTTACGTACCACGGTTTGCCCCCCTCTATTCAGGCGCCCGCTTGCAGATCGCCCAAACACCTACCCTCAGTCACATCTTCCCTCCGAATGCTCCGTTGATTCCGATTTATGACCACCCCGTGAAGAATGGCCTCTGTTACCTCGTTAGACAAGGACTTGCGCAATTTGCGCCTGTCCCGCTATACCCCGCAGGCCGCCGCGGAGGTTCGCGACTGGATCGAAGATGTGCTCCACGAGAGATTACCTTCAGGGGATCTCCTCGAGGCCTTGAAAGATGGCGTCGCGCTATGCAGGTGAGTCTTGACACTCATTTTATCCTATTCTCATCCATGACAAGCATCCCATGGTGGTCTCGATATAGTATATACTAACTGGGGTAATCGCAGACTTGTCAATCTCGCTGTTTCCCCCGGCGTTAAATACAAACAATCATCCATGCCCTTCGTCCAGATGGAAAACATCTCTCACTTCCTCCGCGCATGTCAAATGCCTCCTCTAGGTCTCCCTCCCCACGACGTGTTTCTGACGGTCGACCTCTACGAAGCTAAGGACCCTGCGCAAGTCCTCCAATGCCTGATGGCCTTCAGTCGCAGAGCTACCACTCTCCAGCCTTCCAAATTCCGCCGCCCAATAGGCGTTCCAAGTAAAGGAGCTGGTTCGCTGAGTCCAAGTATGACCGGGAGTTCCGGCCAGGGAGGAGGACCTTATACTCCGACCAAACCGCGCGGGCTAAGCAATGTCAGCGACCCGTCAAGCCCGGCAAAGTCTCCCCCCGCAGCTGTTAGTAGTTGGAGCAAGCGAACCGATGAGTATAACACCGCTCCCGCCTGGAATATCCATCAATACGGCTATATGGGTGGCGCAAGCCAGGCCAACCAAGGTGTGGCGTTTGGTGCCCGCCGCCAGATTACCAGTGCAGCACCGCATGTACCCAGTCTGGCTGAGAAGGAAAAGCACAGGCGGGAGGAAGATGAACGGCAGCGTCTTCTTGAACGGCAAGAGGCTGAGCGCATACACCGCCAGCAACGCGAAGAGGCGGAGGAACGTGCACGTCTGGAAGAAGAGCGCCGCTGGGAGGAGGAAACGGCTCGTCAGAGGGAGAAAGAGCGCCGCCAGGTCGAAGAGGAGCGGAAACAATGGGAAGTGCAACAGCGGCGATGGGAAGAAGAGGAGCAACTGCGTCTACATGAAGAGAAGGAAACAGAAGAACGTCTAGAAACCGAGAGAATGAGACGACGTGAGGCCAACGACACCCGCCTCAATGGCCAATTTCTCAGCCAGTACCAAGCAAGCCAACCTGCTCACTCTCCAACCCCTATCGCGAGCGAATCCAGGGAAAGCCAGCGCATCAGGGAACTTGAGCGAGAGCTGGAACAGGCCAAAGATAGGGAAGCTAAGTATGAGCGTGAGCGACAAGCGGTCCATGAGCAAAGGACCGGCGACTCTCCTTCTGAACCTCGCAGCCCTCGCCCCGTCCCCGTACCTCCCAAGCCAAGTTATTCTCTGTCATCTCTCGAGCAAGAGCGACGTCTTCTTCGCGGGGAATGGCAGAAACACCAAGAAGACGAGGAACCCCTCGCCGAATCAGCTTCTTCTACTCCTCCTCCGTCACTACCGGCACGCCCCCTCCCCGACCCATCCGCAGCCGCTCAGTCGACCATGTCAACGAATAACCCGCCTCCAGTAACATCTCCCCGCCCCCTCCCGGACCCAGCCCTTCATGCCCAGAGTTACCAAGTCCCAGAGAGCCGGGTCGATCGATTCCTTTCTTCGAACCGTCCTCCGATTGCTCCCAAGCCCGTCGCCCACCGTCCAGCGGACTATACATCAACGGCAGAAATCGATGCCGAGAACAGCCGCCGTGTGGCCGCTCAGCAGAAGACCCGTGCCGGCGGATGGGCATCCAAGTCCCTTCTGGAGCGTGAGATGGAGCGAGACCGCGAACGCCAGCGCGAGTGGGAAGAGAGCCAAAAGCAGACCCAGCACGCCGCTGCCCAGGGCTTGAGCGATCCTTCAATCGGCACCGCACCTGGGCAAGGAGCTTGGGATGTTCATCAATATGGTTTCATGGGCGGCGACAACCAGAACAGAGGCGGGACTGGTCTGGGGGTTGGAGGCGCCAGGCGTCAGATCATTGGACCTCGTCCTCCTCCATGAGCGCGATTGAAATTATAGTGCGGACAGGATGACCAGGAAAGGAAAAACGCCCTATGCGCGTATATCTCTATTACTTCCATAGTTTTCTCATGATGGTTGATTTATTGTCTCTTTTCCCCCCTTTGAGCTGATTATTTTTTCTTTTCTATTGTATTTTTTCTTTCCTCGTTGTGCCTGCGAATCATTAGGTAGCGTTGCCTTAGACATTGTTCAACCGGTTATTTGTAAATAGGACTATGTTCGAAATTCAAAAATGTTATCAAAGATAAACAGAGCAAAGAAGTAGATTTTGTCGTAACGGGATGGGTATCTATGAAGCTGGTATAAAATAAACTCCAAGGCACTAAAACATCACTTGCAATCAAGAACGCAGAACGACAGGAGAAAGGTCCTCCTAGGGAGCTCATCAACCCTATCCCTGGTTTAGCAGCTCATCAACCAGAAACATCAACCTCTCACCACTTTCAACCAACCATCCCCATTCGAGATCTTCAAGCCGACGATTCGCCTGGCTCTTCTTCGTCTCCGTCTGCACTTTATCTGCGCGGGTCTCGATTCCCAACTGCACCGCATCCCTCAACTGTGGCGTGATCTTCAGCATCTCACTATCAGCCAGGAGCATGAGAAGGGCCTCGAGCGCCATCGACACCTTCGCGTTGTCGGAAATGCTCGTTGTGCTGGCCGCGTAGGGTAAGAAACACTGTTCGAGCTTGTCCTGGTTGAGATACATCTCGTCGGTCATTGGGGCGGCGCTTTCGCGCATCCGGAACAGCAGGAATTCGCATAGGCTGGTCTGCGCCGCGGCCGAGAAGTGCGGGAGCACTGAGGGGCTCACAAACGCTTGGAATATGGGGAGAGGGAGGTGGCGGATGTTCTCGACAAAGAGATGGTAGAGGTCTTCGAGGCTGATGAATGAGGTCTGTAGGTGGTCGGCGACGTTGGATAGGAGGTGGAGGAGACGTTGGCGCAAGGCGAGCGCCTGGTAGCCTCCGAGGTGGGAGATGTCGTTGGTGGAGTGTGCGGTTGGGAGGGCAGGGTCGGCGTCGTCGGTATTTGGGTCCTTGCTGGACCGGGTGCCTCTTCGAGGACGTTTCGTTTGTCTGGTAGGACCTGGTTTGGTTTTAATCCTATCATTGGACGAATTTCTTTTGCTGTTCTCGGGGTTTTCTTCGTCGTCGTCATCGTCGTCGTCGGTGAGATAGTCGCCGAATTCGTCTTTGTCAATGTTGACTTCTACTTCGCGCTTCTTGATGTTCTGCTTGTCCTGCCTCCGCTGTTTGAGCTCGTGGTGAAACACTTCGCGGAACTCGTTGACCGAGCTGGATCCGCCGTCCGCAAAGATGGCTCGCAGGATCCGACGGTATGCGCCATACCCAGCGACGCCCTCTGAGACGAAACGGAATATAAGGCTCTCTTTGAGAATCTGGGGCTCGTTGGGTTTTTTCCGGCGAGTTTTGATGTCACCCTTGCTTTCATCATTGGCGCCTTCTTGGTACAGTTTTATCCGCAGTGCCCAGTCGTCTTCTAGCACCCCGCACATGAACTCCAGCCAGGTCTGCCATCTCTCCCACCGTTCACGATGCAGCACCGAACAGTTAAATGCCCAGCCGACAGCATGCCAGAAGTCTTCTGCGCGAGACCATAGTGACGCTGACTTACTTAAATCGAGATTGAGCGGCCTCATATCGTCATCCGGCGGAGTTTCGTCTGAGGGGCGCCGTCGGCCTCCTCGACGGGAGGATTGGAAGTGAGTGAAGGAGAATGCGAGGTTGAATTTGGCGTTGACTGGTCCCACAAGGGTTCTTGTGAGGCGTAGAAGTTGAAGCGATGCATTGGGGGCTTCTTCTTCCTCGGCGTTGTTGGCGCGGGTGGTTGTACATGGATGGACGAGACAGGTTGCTGCTAACGCAAGGTGTTGAGGAGATGGTATATAGGTTGAGGTATCAGCAACACCACCCGACGAAATAATATTCAAGAGAAGATTGAGGGCTTGGGTATCTGTTCGACAATAATTCCAGTCAGCTTCGGGGACATGTGTTTGTATGCGGGGGATGCTCACAGAGCTTCTCTTCAAAGAAGATGCCAATATGCTGGGCCAGTTCAAAGGGAAGATGCTTTGCGGGGCGATAGGAAGCATCGCCGGAGGAATCCATTCCTCCGGTACGTTGTTGAGATGTGGCGTCCAAGTGGGAAGTTCGACTGAGTGATTGATCAAGATTGATTGATTGATAGGTCGACGTTGAGTTCGTGATGCTTATCGATAGACGCGTTCCACGTGTTTTTGGCGTTGTCATTTAACAAAGAACAGAGGATGGGATTTCCTTCCCCATAAGAGTCTATCAATTCGTCCGCTCTCCATCAAATCAAGGTGCTGTAGTGTAGTGGTCATCATGAATCGTTGTGGTTAACAACCCGACGCTCCGATTCGACCTGGGTTCGATTCCCAGCAGCGCCAATAATTTGCGCTGACTTGGTTTGAAGGTGTTCATTCGCCTTTCCTTTTTGTTTTTGTATTTTTTGGTTCATATTCCGATATCACTCACGGAAATACTACCAAGATAGAACAGCAACACGTACTCTATATGGTGACTGCGAGGTTCAAATGGGACCTGTAGTGGTGGCCAAGTACTACGGGTCAGTCAGGAACTTGTTTGGAGGTTATCGATGGATAATTGGTATTAGAAAAGGCGACGTTGCCACTTGGGGTTCAATTTTCATAGCATTATAGACTGATATGCCTCTGATATTTATATAGCTAACTAGGTACCTACCTTCCTTCCTACCTGCCTTGGGATTGTCAAAGATACATGACATCACAGTCAAACAGTGGAGTCCTTCTATAGGTACAAGCGACAAGAATATAGAATATAGAATAGGCTGAACGGAGAGGTTGCCGCAAGGCATAAAGTCCATGGCGACATTGAATGTAGCCCGGACATACCTTGTCGGATGCAATTGAATTGGATAAAAGGACAGTCTGATATTTAGACACGTGGTTACAAGAAGCCCCGAAACAAAACTGGCTCTTGTCTCTCTCTATCATTTCCCTCCCTCTTCTAATAATCATAATTTTTTTCCCCCTCTCTACTTTTCTTCTTTAGACCTGGGAGATCAAAAGACCACCCTGTATTCGATATCCCAAACAAAACAAAGAGGAGGTCTCGGCGGGTCCGAAGAGTCGTCCTCCCCTCCTCAAAAACCAAGTTCGTAGATGGGGGTCAACCATCACTTAAAAATGACATGCACACCACGGATTATAAAGGCACAGAAGGAATCATCAAAAGATAATGAACGCCAAGCGGAGAATATTATCAAGAAACCAACAAGAAAAAAAAAAAAAAAAAAAAAAAGAAGGAAAGAAACCCAGCTCAAAACAGAAGCAAGGAACGACTATTCATCTAGTTCGCTCGAGAAGAGACCTATTCGCAAACGATGTGACTATTGCAGCGTTAGTAGACGAATTGGAATGCGCACCAGGACTGGAAATAAAACGTACAAAGGGAAGTTTCGGAATGACGACGCCCAAGGTGGCGAGGAAATTGATGGTGAAATACGTCAAGTCGTAGTGGGTATAATGGGTGCTGAGGAGAAAAAGACAGATAGGCACGCAGAGAAGGAACTTCTTGGTTGGGGTATATTGGTCTCCATTGTCAATCTGCTCCCACATGTTGAGGTTGTCGTAGGCACCAGCGTTGAATTCGAAGGGGATGCCCCGCACCCAGTGGAACATGAGGAAGGAGCCGAACATGTAGCTGATATTGGTGAGGGTCCATGATGTCTCCTGCGAGACACCGGGAATAATGTCGTAGACGATTTTGAGGGCGATGATTAAGACGAAGTGAATGGTCCAGGCCCCTGATATGCATTATTATTGTTAGTTGTCGTCAACTCCAAAAAATCACGGGGTAAATTTGCCACATGCGGAGGGTTCAAGGACTCACCTTTGGCATTGACCCAGTTGGCATTGAGATTGGGCAAGGCCGCCTGGTCGCTGGTATGTTCAATGGACTCCGGGGGCTCCTGGTAGATGAGACTGCTGGACCTTCTCCTCCGGCCACCCTTGGATTGTGACATGTTGGAGTCCGCGGTCAACCGGCGGTGTCCAGTGTCAACTTCCGGGGGGAAGGAGATGGTACGAGGAATGACTAAAGAAGACACTTTGGCGGTTGATGATTGGGGGGGAAGTAGAGGAGAGGGGGAGGAGAAGGAGGAGGGATGAGGGGAGAGAGATGGGGAAAAGCAGTAAGAGGGAGGGGAGAGCTTGGGGAAGAGGAGGAGGAAGGCGGAAGAGATGGAGCGGATAACTCCGATCGGAAAAAGAAACGAAAGGAGGTGGAAATTGCAGCAATGGATGGTGACAGAAAGAGAGACTGTCCAGGTGGAAAGGAGGGAAAGAAATTCCAACCAGGTCAGTCGGGTCCGTCCAGGCAGATCTAAAAGAAGAGGGAAAAGCCAGAGAGGAAGCAGGCGAAGAAGAAGAAGAAGCGAAGAAGGTTGTTGGAAGTTCACGATCGACGGAGAGTCACGGGACAGGAGATATTTAAGAACTAATAATAATCATTTCAAAAATAATATTTTTATTTTCCTTTCACCATCACGGGGTTTCTTCAGGAAGGATCTAAGAATAGAGACCGACCGGTCTAGAAGGCTCCGGTCAAAAAAAAAAATTTGATTATTATTGGGATTGAGAGTCTTCGATAACATCCGAATAAGGTAAACTCTTAGATTTATATACATCCATCTTGTTTGTTTGGGAAGTAAAAGAAAATGAAATTTCAGATATCTTCCGAACAACATGGAAAACAATATATTTATTTATTTATATATATATATACCTACATATTTATGTACTACATAAATGATCATACCCTATCTTTTCAACTAATAATAATCATGATCAAATAAATCCACCCCCTTTTGTAAACTGGGTTGAATTGCCGAACAAGATTGCGTATTTGGTCTCTCCCGCCCCCCGTAAAAATTTCCACGGCCTTTATTGTATTTTCTTTGGAAATGGACTCATTCACAGTCACCAGCTCGACTGACCCTCTTGCCATTCACTCCGACAACGGCCTCTCCTTCCGACTTTCAAGAATGCCTGACTCGGCCGATGACCATGACTCCCGAACTGCCACAGTCGGCGTAACTCGCAATTCCCGCGGAAACTCCAACGATGCTTCGCGACCCAGCTCTATTGATCCCGTCGCAAACCCCCGCAAACGACAACGCAAAGACCGCAGGTCGTCAGAAAACTCCCGCGATTTCGTTCCGCAAGGCGCATCTTTCAGCGCAAACCCTGTAGATGTCGATCCGGATCTCACTTCCTCGTCGGGCTCCAGCTCTGAAGGCGACTCCGACTCCGACTCCCATTCCGACACATCTGATGAGGAGAACAAAGAATCCCCAGAAGCCAACCCGGACACCGCGCGAACAGCCAACTGGAACAAGGGATCGAAAAGTACCATCAGGACGACACTAGGTAGTCGAACCACCAAGCCGGAAGAAAGCAAGAAATCCTCACAGTTTGACGCGATCAACTCGAAATACTGGCGTAGTCGCAGTGAGTCCGTTTCGTCGGCAGATGCGAATGCCAAGGGTGGGCCGCAGAGTCACGGTGAATCTACGGAGGAAGGTGAAGTGAGTGAAGGGGATGACTCGACGGATTCCAGCCAGATGGAGCTCTCTGGAGACTCGGACGACTCGTCTCTAGACTCTGATGCCGACGACTCGATCTTGCTGAACCTTGGGTCTCGCAATCACAACCAGAGTCAGAACGGTGTCTTGTCCCCTAAAGAGGGTGATGATTATGACCCCGAGGCTCTTCCTTTGTCTGGAGCTTCTGTCAACGGTCAAGCTATCAACAGAACTCGTGACGACTCGGCTGTAGTGTCCAAGGAGGATGCTTTCCGGCACTTCTCTCAGAAATATCCCACGCCCCCTTTGACTCTTGCAGATCTTAATCAAACAGACATGGATCTTCAAGCAAAGAGCATATTTTACGATCGTAATATCAATGACATCAATCTCCAATTACCAGTTGCCTGCGCGGAATGTTTGCGAGAGGGTCACATGGCAGAAGTCTGTCCCTTCAAGGAGGTACGTTAACACCAATCTCAACTACTCAAAAGCGTGCCCCAAACTAACAAAATCTAGTGTGTGCACTGTGGGGAGTGGGACAAGCACCAGAGCAGCTTCTGTCCTCAGTGGCGAAGATGCCAAAGATGCCGGGCTCGCGGCCATGACGAACAACAATGCCCCTCTCCGCTGAAGAGCTCGGCTTCGGAAATCCCATGCGACTTGTGTGGTTCACGGGATCATTTGGAACTCCAGTGCGATTACATGTGGAAGCTCCCGCGCCAGGACCCGACCGCGGCTCCGGTGCATGTATCAATCTCATGCGCGCACTGCCTTAGCAGCCATCACTTACTAGGCGACTGCCCATCTCTATCAAAGCGCCTCGTCTCGTCATCCTGGACCTTAGAGGGTATTGACCTCAACATGGTCACAAATATCAATTCAATCCCTCGGGGCAGGGCAAACGGTGGCCCAGTGGGCGCCCAGCGGGGCATGAAGATCCGGGGTCGCGCAGAGCGATACTCCGCTGGCTCGTCGGACAGTGAAGACATGTTAGCTCGGCCCGATCGACGGCCGCCCATGGGTCGTAATGCAAATGCCAACCGGCCCAATATTCGCATTGGAGGAATCGGAAAGAACAAGAATTTCGCGCCACCACCGCCACCAGGGCCTCGGGCCAGCTACCGAGATCGCCAGGAGTTTCCCTCAGGAAATAGCCGTCAACGCTCATTATCTCCTGACCCACGACCCGGCGGTCGACCTAGAGGTAAAGACAGCTGGCAGCCGCGCCCTCGTTCTCCTCCCCGGAGCCGACCAAGGCCGCCGCCTCCCACCAATGGGAGAGGAGCGAGTCGTGGCGGTCGTGGCGGCCGCGGAGGTGGTCGCGGAGGCGGCAACAAACGAGGAGGGGGTAATGGGGATGCATATCGCCCAATGCCTAGTGCTGGTAAGAAGAATTGGGATAGATACAGACTCTAATGTGTTACAGAGTAGCCTAGTCGGATCGCAGGTCGCCGGCGGCGTGTTTTGCCCTGTAATACTCGGAGTGGATATATGTCCTACTCGCACCGAGGCATCCAGATGTTCACAAGCTATGGCGTCGTACAACAGTACCGTGAGCGTTTGGTATACATGAAATTTCTCGAAGAGTCCTGAACCAGAGAGCGAGAAACATGTCTCAACTCTTGGCAGAAGTATCTTATAACGGTGGAATATACGTATGTACAATGGCGTGGAAGCATGGCACGCCTCTACGGCAAGGTTATTTTCACCTCCCTGTCTCATCAGTGGGGGGCTTGGACACCGCCTTGGTGTCCAGAAAAACCCCTATCAAGGATTTCAATGAGTTCATCCAGTCGCTCAATACAGACATCTGTATGT